TAAACAACTTTTATTTCATCCATCTTATCAAATATTTGTAAGCTTAAAAAACTTTTAAAATTAATACATTTTTGAAAATAGGATTGGACCAAAAAAATCGATTTGGGTGCTAGCCAAACAGGCTAGCATGTTAGCTATTCGCTATTATACTTTCTCACATGGTTTAACTATATTAATGCAAAACAACCTGCCCAAATCTTAATATCCTCAATGTGTTCTTCCATCTCATCATCTTTCCATTGAGAATTTCAAGAACCTTCCTATAATCAATCACCTTTCATAACTATATTACACCAAAAGAAACGCATATAGTATAAACAAATTAAACAACATGTTATTTAATCATGTGTATATATTTGATATATGTTTAAACAACAACGCCGCGAAACATGTTAACATCTCCGTTTGGATCATGATTTGGATCTATCCGAACTTGGATACGAGAATAATGTTTCTTGTTCGTCAACGTGGTGAATTGTCGATGTTTGTCTCAATTTTTTTTCATGACTCGATTGGTTTTTGCACTTCGTACACAGCCATAATATATTTTGGCGCTCTAAATAGGAAAGATGACTACGAGCGAAATCAAGAAAAAAAAAGTTTATTCTCTGAACATATTCATCAAAAACGTATTTTCGGTTAGAATCTAAAAACCATTTATATACCCATTCTCTAGATTCTAAAATATTGGACATTTTTTTTAACTGTTTTTTTCCTTTCTTATTCGAACAATGATGAGTTGATGGCTGATTTTATAATCAAGTTTCGGTCACGGATAGCTAAAATAAATATATTCTCTGCTATTCTGCTAAAGCTAAGCTATGCAAAGCTAAAGACGCCTAAACATCTTACATGTGAGTAAAAATGCCAACAAATAGCCATGATCACATTTGTGTCTAGTATCAATATATCTCCAAAATCTAAATCAGCTACGCATAGATACGATGTAGTTTGTGGCTAACTGTCCTTTTGTTAAACACAAAAACTTTCCCGTGAATTGTTTGATATGACTAGTCAGCAAAGGACGTTAACTCCAACTTTATAGATATCTGATGAGAGGCTTTGGAAGGGAATATAATTTTGCGACAAATAGCCATAAACTCTTTGTGGCTTACGAAAATTTCAGTGACTTGCCACGACTTAGTTGTGATTAAGTGATTAACCAACTTTCGTAAATTAAAAAATCTACTCGTAAATGGTATGTTGGGAAAGATCATGAGCTAGAAATAGCTACAAGCAAGTGCGTAGCAAATTGATAAAAAAAAAAATTACAAAACGTAACAAAATATCATGTACCTTTTTTAGTTTATCAATCATATAGTATATGTTTTTTTTTTGAAACATCATATAGTATATGTTAATTTGGAAATGAAACATATTCATACAAATATCTGTTGGCAAGCGATAAGTCTTTTGAAAATTCAAATACTGAATTTTGTTCTCTATGTTTTACAAAAATGATTGGGCTCATAGTAGTTTTATGACGGCAGAAGATGCAAAAATAATAATGATTTTCACGTTAACCTGATATGATTACAACATCAAAAAGAAAAACGAATACATATAATTTAACATTTGTTAGAACCGAAGTAAATAGTAGCATCATTTGAATTATTATTGATGTAAAAATTAATATCACTTTTTTAAACCGATATATTAACATTAAATACAATCAATGAAAATATAGATTGATTAAAAGGTGAATTTGCTTAATAACCAAATGAATTATAATTTGCAAAATAACAAAAAATGGTTTATGTAGAGCTATAATAACCACAAAATTAAGGACAATTGGTCACTTACTAGATTATATATATTTTTTATGGTTATTGGTGCTAACTTCCCTTGATTAAACTGATATAAAGTATTTGCATCACTATTTTTAAATAATTATTTCTGTAAATGGTGAAAATCTTATTTGTATCATTTTAACCGATGCAAATTAAATAAATAAAATAAGTGATGCCAAATAACTTTTTTTTTTTTGTAGTGATGGACAAATCTAAAGCTTTTACCACTCTGAGAGGTAACATATCTTTTCGTGTTTAATTCATCTAACAATTTTTGTAGTGTTGTTATTTTATTGAATGTAAGAGGGATCAATGATCCCCAATTATTGAGTCATTTTTATGTAAAAAAAATTATTATAATCAGACCAAGATTCAATCTACGTAAGGATAATATACAAACAGTCTCAATCTAATCATACATG